TGATTTAAAAGCCACATGCAAGGTGGTCTTTCCCTTAGACTAAACCAAGGCATTTAACTTTAGAATAGTACAATAATTCCACTAGTTAATATTTCCTTGCACATTAGCATATTAACGTATTTCAAATTATTACTTTAAGGAAGTCATTGTTACAGTGCTTTGTTGTTTGAGGGTTATGTTTTGTTTGGGCTTGTTTTTTTTTTGGGGCTTGTTTGTGTTTTTTTTTTGGGGGGGGACAGTTGGCTAGAGGACTAACTGAACTACTCTTATTTAAATACAAACAAATTTGAAATATAAATTCAATCTCAGTAACACAATTGTTCTTGAGCAGAATGCTATCTGTAAAACAAAACTGATAAAACAAAATTCCAAGTACAGACTAAATTTTGTATTTATGGAAAGCATAATTACTTTCCAAATTATGGACTGCATAATACAATAGGGGAAAAAAACACAACCCAAACCTAAAGGGATTTAAAAAAAACCCAGGTGTGGGAGTTGATGCTGAATCCTATATGCTAAAGTCTTATATTCCAGAAATGAATACACATTAAGCGAGCTTAATCCCCTTAGCATATAGCAACCGATGCCACGCTCTCATATTTGAGGCTTCTATGTAATCATTTTGCTCTAACACAAGGACTGCAAACTAAGCAGGCAACACGTGAGTCAGATTGCTTGCTCTGGCAGGATGGAGAGTCATGAGCTTCATGATGACAAAGCAAGAGCTCTACTTTAGGAATGCCAGCTATTCAAACCTATCTATTCAGGAGCTGAAAAGTCACCAGTTAAACATCAGCTAAACATCTGCTTAAAATTCACCTATGACTAACACAATATGATCATACAGTTACACAGGGAGCGCATGTAGATTTTTACTAGCCATAGCAGTTGGACAATGGCATGCAGCTCCTGTGAAAAGACAGAGCTTAGTTGAAGAGGAAATACGACAGATCGCAGAAACTCCCATCACATGTCATATGCTCACCACACTTGTCCAGAGAACATCATGGCTTATTGCTTGGACTCACGACTTAATACCTTGTAAGAATACTGGCAATCTTAGAAGAATCTTTTTGGCTGCTCTCTAAATTACTCTACAGTTAGCAGTTCAGTAACTTACAAACACAAGACTGAGGGACCTTTTAGTGGTTTAAGTTTTTCACACTCATTTCTTTCAGCTCTGATTCCAACACTAAAAGCCTTGGCTGCGGAACACCTCCCAAAGCACAATTTAAAATTCAGATAGGAAAAAAAATACCCTCATCACTAGCGGCAAACAGACAAACATGTCATTTCACCCCTCCATGTAAAAAGCCATCACAGGAGAGTGACTAAGTACTCTAAAAACCGACACCTCCCTTGACTGCGATTTGGCATGCTTAGGCATGCTTGAGCAGCATAACATTAATGACATAATTTAGGACTATCACAGGCAAATGCTTCCCGACACCCTTTCAGATAGAGAAAGAGGAAATCTAATCTTCCTTAAGAAAATGAGTTTTGAAAAAATCTCAGGGGTGCTCATTTGTATTCTCTCGCATCTTTAAATATACATAACAGTGTGATATTTTGACATGACACCTTGACAGGCAAAAGGTTTCTGCAGCAGTATTACTCACAGGAACACCTCTCACACCTCACTTACTCCTACCATAAAAGAATCTTCTCTTGTCTGTTCCAACACATGTACTTTGGGCTTTTTACAGTTCCTTTGTAAAAGGATCAGATTGGTCACAGGCTCTTACAGGACCCTTAAGGCAAAAAATACTTTATACAAGAAATGCCAAGAATGTATCTACCATTAGACCACAATCTCAGCTTTTAGGATGCAGTTCCAGTGGTGTCCCAATTTCACGAGTTCCCTCTCACACCATATTTTCATTGAGGAAGTTTTCCAAAGAATTTTGCCATCACTAATAACAGCGCAAAGTCAGTGATGATGCAAATACATGACAGCTCTACTGAACACTATGCTTTGAAAGATGACAGCTGACACAACAAGCTCTTTCATCTGCAGCTATTTTTAAACCTATTTAGACCTGAATTTCAGCATTAGAAATAAGCAGAGACTGCTGCTAGAGATGTATGAAGAAAACAGGTACTGGAATATATAAAGCAATTTCTAATCTTTGAGGAAACTCACAGCTATACCACTTGCCATTCCTTTAAGTAAAACATTATTTTGCTGAAGTCAGAAATAACACTGTCTTAATGAAGCACTGCTGATCACAAATAGTATCTACACACAAACCTAAATACCCTATACTGATGTTTCCAGGAAATCTAATGCAGCCAACAAGGTTTAGACAATACCCTTTAAGCTGCAAGGCAATTTCAAAATTAATCTAATTTACTTTATTTACTCATATTGGTAAACAGGAGACAAACCTGGACTTCTGCCCTCTTACCAGCATGCAAGAAATTATGTGTACTGTAACCAATATACCAATATACTCAGCTCACCAGTTTGTACTTTAATTTCCCATCATTCTTCAAGATGGTACAAAAGAGACAGCAGAAAATGAAACAGAGGCTACCAACAGCCAGTTTTACTTCATGTCTGATGTGGCAGTAAACACCTTGTGCTACACTATATTAAAACTAAAGAAGACGGGAAAAAAAGAATCACAGTGTTTATGTAGCACATTGCTACTTACAATCACCTCCTTCAAAAACATCATCTCATTTTTCAGTTGCAATAATTTCTGCCTGGAAAGCAAGAGCAGCTGACACAGGCAGTAAACCAAATACTTTTCCTTCTTGCTTTGCTGACTTTAGACTTTATTCATGACTTAGGCAAAGAGGAGAGGAATATTATCATATTATTTAAAAAAAATATATAACTGCACATCAATTTTATCATTATTTCCCTCCTTGCAACACTGAGCAATGTCACAAATAAATATAAATGACAAAGGCAATTTTATAGAGTTCTTGTCAAACCCTGGACATCACAATGTGAAGGAGTCTCAGAGCAACGTTGGGCAGTGCATACTGGGTGCTAGCATCAAGAAAAGCACTAGAATTCTTACTGTCAAAGACAGCTACTTGGCTGGCTGAAGGCCACTTCCTGGGTATTGGGACTAATTCAGCATGTTACAATTAAACCAAGACCTTCCTGTCACTCAAAACACAAACCACACGGACAGTGCCTATTCTCAAGCGTGAGATCTTTACAGATGAATCTAGCATGACCAGAAATACTTCTTACTTACGTTTCAACGCAGAGGTCTTCTCCCCAGGTACATGCTTCTGCTTACAGAGAAATAAGCTACCTTTAAGAAGACTGAGAATAAACCTGCCATGGCAAAGCGCATGTCTCGAGTGGTAAACTGTCCTCGTAGCATCGGTAAAACTTTTCTGTTCATCTTTCTGATCGAGCATTAAAAAACGATACTATTTCTCCCAGGGTTTCATGAACAGCAAAGTATCACAGCAGCAACCTCAGCCGCCACTCACCCACTCTAAGCAACAAGAGCCAGGACGGAGTTTCCCTGCCCTCCCTGCAGAAGCCCTTGCTCTCCCCGCCTAGGCACGCCCGTTGTGAACACGAACCCGTTGCGGGCAGTACCCCGGCCTCGGCGGGCTGCCTGCCGACGTGCGGAACGCCGCTGCAGGGCCGCGGTGCACAGGCAGCACACGGGCACGACCCACTGACCCGCTTACCGCGTTACTGCCCCGCCCGCCCAGCAGCACCCCTTGGAACCGGGAGCCCCCAAGCGGGACGCGCCACCCCGCAGGGCCCGCTCCGTTCCCGAGCGGGGACGCGCTGCAGGGGACCGCCGCTGCTGCCTCACCAGCACCGAGGCCCCGCGGGGCTCAGCACGGCTCTCACCCATGCTCATCTTCGTCGCGGGCCGAGCTGACCCGTCGCGCCCCAGAGGCCGCTCCATCCACCTGTGCCTTGCTGCCGTTCTTCTTGAGGATGCCCTTGATGGGCGCGCTGTCCGCCGAGCCCGACGCTGAGCGGCCCGACGCCGAAGCGCCCGACTCCGAGGGCTCGTCCATCGCCACTCCGTCCGCTTCCGGCCTCCTCCGCCGCCGCTGCCTCCGCCTCAACTAACGCCTCCCCACCGCGCGTCAGAACGGCCGGCGCGGGAAACAGGCCCTGTACCGCCACCTCAGCCCGCCGAGGCCGCGCCCCCTGGCGGCAGGAGGACCGCCATAGTCTTCCTCCGGGATGCTGTGCGCATGCGCGAGCGTGGTTGCCGGCGCTGGGGGGTGCTGCCCGCCCGCGGAGCCCCGGCGCGTGCTTCAAGTCGTGCGCGAGGCGAGGTCCCGGCAGCGCGCACCCGTTGGCCTGCTCCCATCCCTGAGAGCCGGGCAGCAGGAGGCTGTGCAGCAGCGGTGAACTGACCCGCATCAAAATCCCGAGGCCCCTGGCAGCCCCCGTGCCGGTGTCAGCGTCCCGGCGGGTCCCTCCGGCACCCGTACAGCCGGGGTGCGGGCGCTGCGCCGTTAGGATTTAAACCTTTAACGGGGATAATGGCTAGAACGTGGCAGTTGTTTCCGGTGTTCGCAGGGCCTCCCTCCCACCTCAGCCTCGTCCAAGTGGTGAAAGATGGTAGGAACACTGGCTCCCTGCTCAGCTCCTGTAGCTCTCCCAGGGCACGGAAGTGCTTTGCTGCACATCTATGCCAGTAAGGGTCCCACCACAATGTGTGGAACATTTCCTGCAGGTTTAGAGTATGCTACATCTACACCATTGTTTTTCATGTCAGTAAAAGCAGCAAGAGAGGGGGGGTCACTGCCAGCCAAAGCCACAATGCTGGCACAGCTCAGACAGTGGCGGAAGCCTGCACATCCAACCCCAGAGAGCTGGAAAGACCTCCAGGCTCCTGAGGCAAACCATCTAACTTCAGACATGGTTTCTTACATGGCACTGCATTCCTGGTCTGGTGGTGCTGTGGCCTCAGAGGAGGGGCAGACCCCACACACCAGGCCCCTCAGCCCCTTGGAACGGTCATGCATCTGGGAAGTACAAAAGCCCCAAAGCGGATGTTTTAATTTCATTTTTAATGAGCTGCATCAGTGCTATTCAAGCAGAGTTGTCGTGGTGCCTGGTGGACACCTGCCAAGGCAGTTGCAGTGCCAGCGGGCACTCAGTGCGTACAAAAGCGGTAAGCAGGACATCAGGCAGAGCCTGCCATCTCTTCGTGTTCAGGGAAAAGCTTCCAGAAGAGAGGACAGTGGAGCAGCCCCATCTCTTTCTGTCTTCTTATGAGCACGCTCAGAGCTGACCCCTTGGGTGTGCAGGACCAGCCTCACTAGAGGCGAGAGAGGACACATACAGACACTGGGGATGGAGCCATGCTGAATTTCTGGACATTTTTAGACTTTAAATACAAAGGGCCAGATCTGATTCCTAGTCAGGAGGCCTGCTGATGTGGCAGCAACGTATGCCAGCAGGCCTGCACCAGAAAACACTCAAGACCACAGTCTAAGTTCCAGGTCTGCAGGACTGACACACTGTGTTTGGATGCCGCCCCTTGTAAGGCAGTGCCTGCAGTGTGGCTCAGACACCACAGACTTGCAGCAAGCCCAGAAGCATCAAGACAAAAATGGAAAACAAACCTGGGGCTGTGCGATGAAAGGTTTCTCGTGGGATGAATACTTGTACATCATGTCTCATACCCTTTCCCATCCACACAGAGGAGAACTCACAGAAACAGCAGAGCTTCACGCTTGCACTTCAGAATTTCTTTTCTTCACCCATTAGCTTTGAATCAGTCAGTTACTCTGCGAAAGTCAGAGTGAGAAAAAAGGGGAAGAGTGATAGAACAACAGCAAAGCATAACTCAAGGCTGGCAAACTACCGTTAGCAAGGGATTACTACATTTCTCTGTTACATAGAGAAATTCTAATGGATAAATCAGAAAGCAACAAAGTTCATCGCTGTCTGGTGCTGTCACTGCATGCCGGAGTTACATCTCGGAAGGGCAGTTAAGTTGATCCGTGGGCATCATTTTCTCAGTGTCGATCTTGTAGGACTGGAGAACACTCTTCAGGTGCTCCACGGTTTCTGGGTGCATGTCTGGAGCTCTTGATAAAATCCAGGCATAGTCAATGTGGAAGAGCCAGAGAATGTTGGTGCAGGAGTAAACCAGCGAGTAGTTTTCATAGTCAGTGGAGATGACCCAGTAAGGGGCTGAAGGCATGACTAGGAGAAAGAAGAGCACCATGAACGTGATGCATAGCTGACTCTGCACTGCTCTGCAGCATTAAAGCCACAGCTCCTGGTGCTGTTCCCGCTTTGGCTGCTCCTGAGCCATGTAAGTATGGTCAGTATAGGGAGCTATAATTTATGAAAGCCTAAAATAAAAGCCTATCAGGACTCCTTGTTCTGTCCAGCAGGGCTCGAGAAAACCACAAAGCCCTGCCTAGGAAGGTCTTGCTGGAAAGTTAACACTGCCCTCATCAGCTCATCCAGGCCACCAAAAGACAGCCCAGCTTGCACCCATGTGAGGGTGCTTGCTGTAGAGCTGGGAGCTGACACTGGTGATCTGAGGAGCACAAACCAGCACCTCTCTCCACGCCACCCACTGCCCCAGGGTGCTCTGCTCATAGAACCAGCTGGAACCCAGGCAGTGGAAATCAGTATGGCCCAGTCCATCCCACCAGCACCAGCCACCTGGGACAGATCCTGTTCTCCATCAGGCTGCTATGCCTGAAGCATTTGCTCCAGTGGGGGACAGCCACTTTGCTTCAAACCATCAGGCACAAAGCAGAGGTGGGTCCAGGAGGTAGGCAATATTTGTTTCTGATGCACTTAGGAGTGCAAAGTGCTGTTTTCTTGAGGCTCACATTCTGTAAGGATGGTTGGGGTTGCACATGTTGTGGCTGAAACGGCTGCAGGTGAGATACCTTAGCAGAGCATAATTAAGACTGGCTGTGCTCATGAACAATAATTGTATCTCCTTTGCAAGTGTCCTGCTCCACCCATTTCTCCAAATAACCTCTGTATGTGAGTGCTGTGAAATAGCCAAGGAAAAGGTGTGAAGGAGCAGAATAAAAAGGGTGCCAAGGCAAGGCTTCTGCTCACTTTCCAAAATGTTGCTGCAAAGTGCTGTGCAATGGGAATAAAACACACTGCACCTCAGCAGGCCCATTCATGTATTACCTTGACAAGGGAAGCGAAGGCAAACAAAACCATATTATTAATGGTTATTAAAAGGCACTTGTAAGCAGAGGCAGGGTGGGCTAGAAGCTATACCACTACATTCAGAAAAACAAGCCTATCGCTGACCCTTGTTGCAGCTCCCCCATCTCTCCCCTCCCAGTCCCCATCTGTGAAAAGACCTGAAGAGACACTAATGCTGCTGGTCCTTCTTGCTTTGACATCAGCTGGTGAAGACCGCTCCACCACTGTGACTGTAAGTGATGTATAAATGTCACCAGACCACTGTGAGCCTTCCAGCCACACACTTACACCAGTTAAAGCGGACACCCAGCTTGGCCGGCTCCTTTACGTCCATGTGCATGATTTCTCCTTCAACCTCGTTGACTTTGCCATTGGAGCTAAGGGGAGAATGACAGAGTGAGAAATTAAATCAGATCACTTTGAAATCACTTTTTTTTTTCTTTCTGCTACATAATCCCTCGTAGTGCATCCACCTGCCAAGAGGAGGCCAGCTAACCACAGCATCCCCGTAGGGACAGCTCACCCCGGGGATGGTTTCAGCAGCACCCTGGGCACACCAGGTCCTGGCCCAGGCACAGCGGGGGACATGCTCTCCCAGGTTAAAGCACCCCAGCGCCCCAGAGTGCCTCTCTCCAAGTGCCCTGCCACTGGGGTGTGCTTCAGTGCCAGTGGGACAGTGACAGAGAAGAGAGAGAGCAAGACCCCTCTGCAGGATGGGAGGATCCCAGCACCCATGTGCTGGATGTGCCAGGAAGCAGCTCAGCTTCTGCTAGCTGTGGAAGGCATGTGCTCACCTCTGCTTAATCACCTGCATTTTTCCCAGGGCACAGCACATTCCTGCACACACACATTACCTGTCCCTGCTTGGTAAGCCAGGATTTGTTTCACTGCTGGTTCAGAGCACTGCCCTGCTGGCAACAAGCCCTACGACTCAAACTGCCTATCTTATAATTGCATCTTTCCCTGGCTGTCTCAAGACCTGGACGCTGCCTGTGGGGCAGGAAAGTTTTGTGCTTCCCTATGAAACAGGAACACCCAAAGAGGCAGAAGCTAACGCTGCTACCAGCAGAGATCACAGGGCTGATGCTGGGCCATGCACAGTGCATACCTGAACTAAAATATTCAGGGTCCTGAGCTGCTGCAGTGGTGCCACCACCGGTCAGATTGATCTCCCACAGATCAATGCAGGCACAGATCAATGTCCAGCTGTTTGACCAGCTCTGCCCTAGCAGTGGAGCTGCAGAGACAGTGCTGCGCAGTCAGTGAGCGGCATGGACACTGTTCTTTGCCAGACACAAGGGATGTGTGGCTGCGTTGTTGTCATTGTGAGCCAGAACAAAGTCCCCATGCCATGCCAAGGGAGCACAGGGGACAGCGCTGCGTTCACCCCTCACTCCCTCCCTCTCATTCATTCAGCTGCTCAGAGCAGCACCAGCTGGGGATGGTGGTAGAAGCAGATTAATTAATGTCTACATCTGCCCATGTGGAAAGCCAGGAGGGCTCGAGGTAATTGCAAACCATCACGTATAATAATGGGAACAATCAGTCCATTAGCTTTGCTCACTGATTTAAACTGGCAACAATTGCTGATCCCCTTACACAGCAGTTACTACCAGTACAAAGTAAATGCTACAGAAAAAAGCTGACAAATATTTGCTTAAGTAAAAATGACGCGTGTGCTTCACCTTCCCTGGCTCTTTTCATCGGGTCCCTTTACTCTGGAGCACAGAGCACAGGCATCTCTCAGGTCACGGGCACAAGGTGGTGGCTGCCATACCCATATGCAGCCCTATGACCCTCCCTGGGACAGGGGCATCCAGCTTCCCCGCCATCACTGGGGATCAGAAACCAGTCAGGAGGAGACCCAGGCTATTTCACACTGGAGGCACCACGTGCATGTGATCTGTTTTCTCACAACTCACCTTGGATAACAAGACAGAGACCTGGTGAGCCCCAGGGAAGCAATGGCAGAAACCAGAGACCTGCATCTCTGCTGTAACCACAGCAAAGCCCATTGTCCCAGCAAAGCTACCACAACCACAGACCAGAAACAGGCAATTTGGAGACAGGACAGGAGCGCCACCGCTGCAGGGAGGACACAGCCCAAATGCAAACACTTACAGCAGCTCCTTGTTGATCACCTTGAACTTCCCATTTTCCTTCAATGAGTAATTTGCCTGGATGCAGCTTCCTTTCTCGAAACCTGAGGGCAGCTTCTCTATCTCGTACCATTTGCCTAAATACTGATAGAAGAAAGCCCAAAGAGATGCTTTTAGCATGAGAGGACGGAGGCAGAGCGCCCTGCCTTGTTTGCCAGCACAGTTTTGTATGCTCAGTTCATTTGAGTCTCCCCCTCTGTGGTGCAGGAGGCTGTGGGGGTTAGCAGGGTCGCAGACCCTGGCATGAGGTATCAAGACCAGATCTGGCCATCCTCCCATGACCCAGGCACTTTGCCATCCATCCCATGCCCCCTTACCCTAACTCACTGCCTGCCCTGAGACTTTTAGAAACCTTTTCACACCTGGTTGATATCGAAGTCTTCTTGGACTGCTGGGTCTGGGCATGGTCCCATATGAAACATCTGGCATTTCCCAAAGCCAAGGAGGCTGAACAGGACCAAGAGCCTCACTGCTGTGGCCAGCATGGCTGCACCAGGATGCAGGCGGGAAATGGACCTGGGGAAGACAAAAATAGCCCAAATGACCTGTGGCAGTGGGGTTGGAACTAGATGATCTTTAAGGTCCCTTCTGACCCAAGCATTCTATGATTCATGTGTCAGGATTTACACAGCACTGCAGGACAGGGAAGTTGTTCAAGAATTCAATCAGCACCAAATAAAACAAGAATCGACTACCAAAAGCATGCTGCAAGGAGAGGAAGGATACATTTTCCAGTGGAGCAGAGGTGGGAGCTGTGCTGCTCACTCCCAAACAGCCCCTGGAGCCAGGATGCTGCCCATGTGTTTCAGGTACTTGGGGCAGGTTGGCACCTACAGACCCTGCAGCACGGGGCTGCTCTGCTTCCTTGGCCAGAATCTCCGCCATAGGAACAGTGCATTTTGCCCAAGTTTAAAAGAAAAGCCCATTCTGCCTCCAGCTGTGAGGCATGGGCTCTGCTGTGGACGCACACACAGCTCCCAGTTTGAATCTCTCATTTCAGAAACGTACCTTGGCTGAAGAGATGGAGTGATGCTCTGATGAGGGCCAAGGCTGCAAGAACAGCTCTGTGGTGAGCTGTCCACACCACCACTTTATAAGCGCACTGCGATCATCATTATTCAGCATCAGCACAAGCCACTCCCTGGTCCTCAACGTGTTGTGTTTTTTTGGCAGGCCAGTCAGCTGCCTTAGATCTGCAGCTGGTACGAAGCTGGAGATGGGCTGCAACTTGGCCGCTCACCCAGGCAAACAAAGGCACCCCATGTGTCTGCGTATCACTCCACAGCTGCAGAGCTCTGTGTGCAGAGCCATTCAGCTGCCCTTGAGAGCCTCAGACCTGGGTGCAAACAGCAGGGGACTGGGACAGCAGCAGCTCCTGTCCTGCTCCCTCTGGACCCAGAAGGAGCCATCGCCATGCTTGAAGGGGGGACATGCAACTTCCTCTGCCATGGGCCATTTGAGCCCTGGAGACCTTCCAGGTCACTGCAGCATCCTCATCCTTATTAGTCACTCACAAGAGTACATGGGGAGGGTTAAGTAGTGGGGGTCATTGCTCATCTGGGTGGCTGCAAGGCCTCTCAGTGATTTGTCCTCTAGACTTTGAAATCTCATTACAGGGAAAGGTGGTGCAATTAGTTCTGTGCTGACCTGGCAGTTTTTCCAACAGGTGCCCAGCAAATTACTTTGACAGCAGAGCAGCCATCTGTGAAGGCAGCTGGTACTGAGAGTTATGCAAGGAGAGCCAAGTAACAGCCAGGATGCTCTCTGTGTTTAATTACATCTTCTTTTAATCTGATCTCTGTTGAGACTTTCTTCCTAGGTGTGTTTTTACATGCTGCACCTCATGCCTTACACATGCACACACATACTCTTGAGCCCCTGGCTGCCCAAATACCCCCCCCTAAAAGCAACAAATAGCTAAGTCTTGTCCCTTTCCAGGGTGTAAGGGACACACTGCCGAGGTGTGCTCTGAAACATGGCTGCAGCCGAGGTCCTCCCAGCACCTCAATGGCCATCAGGGCTGAGCGTGGCTTATCCAAAGCAGATGCAGACCCAGCAGTGCCAGCTGGGGATGAAGAGCTCAGGGAAGCACCACGACCCTACCAGCAGCATTTGGTGTGGGGCAGGGGAACACCCAGGGTCTCTCCCTCACTGCACACAGCTCCCTCAGTGATTTGGCACAGCCTGTCCCTGATGGAGTTGCTTTGGCTGACCATGTCAAAGTCAGACCCTCTGCAAGCCCCCTGTTCATCTGCACCTCTTGTGATACAAGCAGGTTAGCAATTAGAAGAACCTGACCTAAACAGTATGAGAGCTGCCATATCATAGTGCACTGCAGAGGTGGGATACCCCACACGCAGACCAGCAAGCTCAGTTTTAATCCTGAAGTGGGCTGCTTGCATCCTGCGGAGCAACGGGAGGAGAAAGTGCTGCAGTTTTGGCTCCCAGCACCGTGTGGCCAAAATCACTCCAGAGCAGTGAGGCATTTACTCCAGCTGTGCTCCATGAAACCCACTGCAGGAGTGTGCATTAACCTGGGATATGGTCAGGAGCGATGAGGAGCCATCAAGAGCTGACACTCCTTGAAACAAATCTATGTCTTGGCAGGAAACACAGGGGTCCCACCTCCACCCAAAGTCAGCACCTTCAGAAGCCCAGGGGCTGCTGCATGTGGAGCCCCACTCCAGTGGCTGCTGCCAGCCAAAGGGCATCCCATGGATGCCGAGGCACCGCATGCCTTGATGTACAGATGATGAGACCTGACAGCTGAAACTGCTGCTGGCTGCTGGGACCCGTCTCCATGCAAGTGCTGGCTGCGCCTTCCCCAGGGGCACATTTCTGGGCTCTGCCTGACCACAGAGGGAAGCACCCAGGTATGTGCTGCTCCTGTGTTGGAATGGAGCAGGCTTGGGCTGCTGCAGCTGAGTCCCTGCCCAGGGCCACCAGGACCCTCCTGTTATCTCACCTCCAGCACTCACCAGCACTGCTTACCCACACAGACCCAGGCCCTGCTCCATGCCCTGCCAGAGCAGGACTCTGCTCGTGAGCCTGTCCACCTTCAGTGCACACAAGAGCAAGGGTTTGGGGAAAAGCGTAACATTATAATCACACCTAATTGTGGGGTGGGGAAAAGTCATCTCTACCTGGTAAGCAGTTCATACCCTGGAGTAGAGGAGGGGAGGCACATCAAAAGGCAGGAAGCTGGAACAAGGTTGGGAGGGCAGGAAAGAGGAGAGCTGGAGGGTAAAACAGGGCAAAGAGGGGGGGCACCAGACACGCTCTGAGCGCTTCATGCAAGAATGAAGCCTGCCCCACATTTCTGGGTGATGAGGAAGCTGCAAGCTGGGTGTACAGGGTGCGTGCCCAGCGCAGGGAGCATGGAGAGCTGCAGGGCTTGGAGGACAAGGCAGCATTGCGTGCGTGGGTGCAGATGGGGTGTATGGGCAGTGTGCGTGCACGGGGAGGCAGAAGTGGATGCAAAGCCTACCCCACACTGGGGTGAAATGGCAGGAGCTTTACAGTATGTTCAGGTGTGGGCAGGTGAGGCAGCCCACTGTGCGGGGCACATATAGGCTGTGCATGGGGTGAGGCAGCACTGGGCACATGCTGGGCATGGGGTGAGGCAGCACTGCATTCGGGGCATGTATGCCTGGGCTACATTGGCCAGGAGTTTCTTGTGTTACTAAGTTGTGTATTTCAGAGACAAGGCTTGTCTGGCTCTGGGAAGAGGAGGCAACAGCACTGAGCGCTGAATGCTCCCTTGTCAGAATAAAATGGAGCTGCCGATAAAATCCAGGCCTGGGACCCACGAATTCCTGCCTGCAGCCAACCTGACTTAGTGCGGAAGTGAGATGGTCCTATTGCGCACCCTAGGCCACCCTGAAATCAGCTCCTGGCACATATGTAACAGAGGTTTAGCTGGCCAGGTCTGGTGGGGACCCCGCGCCCCAGGGAAAGGCTGTCTTATCACGCTATATCCCCATGCTGGTTTTCTCCCTCCTCTAAAGGAAACGGGGTTTTGGGTTGGCCAGACAAGTTGCGACATGTATATAGAAACAAAAATGAACTTGCAGGAGAAAAGGCAGAGAAAGGGAAGGCAGGTGGGAATTTTCCTGTTTCTAGGAGTGGCAGAAAGTGCTTTGAAATCTGTTTATGCAAAATGGTGTAAAATTACAAATCACAGTTATGACAGTAAAGGAAGTAAACAGGCTCTGGAAGCATGAACTGGCCTCTGAGATATGGAAACTCAATCTAAGGCAAGTGCACAGATGTTGTGATTCACATATATACAATTACTGAATAGTTCTCCACCATGGAAATTATCCAATTAGGTAGTCAAAACACAAGAAACCAAAGAGAGAGATTTATGAAGCTGGAAAACTAAAAAAGATATTACATTTAAGGGACAAACCCTATTGTGGCAGGACAAGCAGTGGCTCTCCTGGGCTCTCAGGAAAGTTCCCTGAACTGCTTGGCACTGCTGCCAAGGTCTGAGTCCCTGGAGAGAGAAGCCAGAGGGATCCTTATTCTTCTGAATGTAGAAAAAAGCAAAACAGAGAGAAGAAAAACAAGAACAAAGGGGGATAAAAGCGACAGCAGGCAGGTCTCTGCAGACAGGGCTACACTGCAGGGTTGGACTGGTGATAATGCTTTGGCCCTGCAGCATCTCACCCCTGCAGATGTGCTCAATAGAAAAAGCAGAGTCCAAGCAGTGCACCTAATCCTGGCTTTTCAGTATGTCCCAGAAGTGCCTCACATTGAGCAGCCATTTGCTGCTAAATAACATTAAAAAGTGTTTGTTTTTGCAGTTTGTTGCTAGGTTATCACAGCACATGCCAGGTACTGCACAGGGTGGGCATAGGCCAGGAAGCACATACAGAAGGGGGCAGAGTAGGACTTCTCCAGTGGATGCGGGAGCAGATCCCAAGCTCTGATCCCAGGGCCCTGGTATGTGAATGCCTGCTCAGGTTTAAGTGCTGGGGTGCTACATGGCCCTGGCTGCTGTAGCTCAGCCACAGCTCAGGTCAGGGTGCTGCTCCCCCTCTGCCAAGCCGAGCCTAAACAGGCATCCTGGTGTTAATGCCAGGCTCTGCACCCCGCTTCTTGGAGGATCGCTCCTACATTCCCCCATGGATTCACAACACTTTTTTCAGGACTCTTTAAGCAGCCCCCACCATACTGAAACATAATTTAAAAGCTTTAAAAAATGTCATTAAATATACTTACAGAGTGCCTCTGCAAAGGAACTTTGTTTTCCCAGAGGCAGTGATCTGTTCACAACACCATCAGCTCTAAGAGATGCCCAAGTAAGGCTGTTTAAAGCCCACAGCCCTATTTTCTGCAGCTAAATGCTATTTCAGCACCTTAATTCAGGAATGCATTACTGGAGTTACACAATTATATGACCTGTATACAACCTACATCTTCCTTGTGACACAGATTTACAATGTGTGTGGAAACCGCAGCTCTGCTCACAGGAGGAGAGAAAAGACTCTATTGCATTAACAAATACAGTTAAGAAATCTCCTGCAGATGATGCTGTCCTGCCACCCAAGTGAGGAGCCCATCAGCAGGGACAGGGACTCTCCTGCTGCAGGAGCACTTTGGAGCCAGCTTCAAGTCAGCAATTTGCAGCAGCTACCAGGAGTGCAGGAATCACGTACAGTGTTTGGGGTAGCCTCAAACCCTCAGATACCCTCTGGTCTTACACACCTCAAGATTGTTCTATATATATTTATGTATGCATCTGGAAGACCTAAGGGTGGCACTTTAGCCCTGATGGACTCCTCCACCAGCCAGGACAGCATTTTCAAGTCCTGTCTCTGAGCCACCCAGTCTCACACCACAGTCAGAGGAGAATTCTAAGAATCGCCTTTCTGAAAGAGCAAGTCACATCTCACAGCCTGCAGAGCGCAAAGACACTGGCATATGTGTTTGGCTTTGCCCATGAATAGCTGTACTGAGGCCAGTGAGCCCAAGCACACATGCCTTGCTTTGCAACACAGGCCCAAGTGTTTGCCAGACTGAGCTTTACATTATACAGAAAATAAGTAACAGATTTGGTGGTCAATGCTCTGACTTTGATTTAATATAGTTACGGTCTGAAATAGCACAGAGATACCATTCATAGTGAGTTTCACTTGTTGATAAAGGGGTGCAGGGAGGGGATGAGGCTGGGACTTAGTGCAGGGGCTGAGAGTATGTGAAGATGACGAGGAGAGATGCTTCCTATATGTGCACATGGTGCCTTGGCAGTTCCCAGTAAAAGCACCAGCACCTTCTCCACAACAGTGCTGGCCCCAAGAAAATTCAGTGTTGGGAGTGCCTTGTTGGGATGGAAAGACCACTGCACCCACCAGATGACTCCATCCTGCACCCACCTCCTCTGAGCCACCTCATGCCACATAGCCAAGCCACTGTGCTATCTCACCCTCTTTAAAAATAGCCTTTCCCAAGCCCCCAGGTGTATTTTCTGCAGGCACTTTCCCCCTATGAAAGTGCACCTTGGCTATATAAGAGTACTTGATCTCCATCTTTTCTGAAGGGTTGTCAGGGTACCTATCCGCACAAGCATTCATGCACTGTTTTTTACCACCTGCTCCAGCCACCCACTGGATGTCCCTGGTGGGATGTAGGGACTGCCACGTCCCTCCCTGCAGTAGATGATGGAGGTGTGGGGCCTTATCAGGGGGTATTCCCTCTCCTGCCAGTTCCCTCATTAGCCATGGTTGCACTTCATTAGCGTTGGAAAGGGAAGGTGTTTCGCTGTGGTCTGAATGCTTCAACACCTCTGAGTAGGCAGAAACCAGGAAAGGAATGTAAAGACGCAGGGTGCTGTCATAGTAACCCTGGTTAAAGTCCCACCAGGAAAATGACTTCTCCTGCAACACTTGACCCCACAAGGTGACAGGTACCACCAGCACCCCTGGGAGCACAATCACTCTGGCAGGCAGCCAGAAAA